GGCGAGAGGAAACCATTTAGCTTTGAAGAACAGAAAGCACCCACAAGCTTTTAAGGTTTATTTGCATCAAGAGGTGGGAGTCTCTCGGTTTTTTTCTCTCTTAATTGACCCACCAGTTTGCCTGGAATATGCAAAGACTACACTGCATGACATTCACTATGCACATTTTCTTATAAGACTTTATATAATGTTGTATCAAATGGCTTTTATATTTCATCAGTTTGAATGTAATTAGTGAGGGGAGGGGAGATAAGGACGTTATTGTCATGTTTCAGTATTGTGTTATAATTATCCTACTTTCTGTACACAAAAAGTTTCTGAGGTTTGGAATAATAAGACTCCGTGTTTGAACAGGAACCGAGAGTCCACACAGACTCTTTAGCTGTTGTGCCACTTACCAGACTTTCAGCTGTCACCAAGAGTTGTATTTTTTTTTGCTTTAACAACCAACTTTTAATTAGATTTTCAATGTCACACTCGAAAGGTGGTCTTCAAATTATAAAAACATGGGTACAACACAAAACAAGCCTCAGCTGACAGCATCTTGTAGTTGACAGATTATATCTGCAGAACCGGTTTCGTCCTGTATTAGTATTAAATCATAATTACCTGATGTTGAGTATGTGTGCTCCAAAATCCACTCCCAGTCAAATGTCTAGTCCATCATTTCTCAAATCTTATTTTATTCACTTAATAAAGCTCCTGTAAGTAACCACTGGGTATGTTGACATATTCGGATTCAAGGGTGAACTGTTTTTACTCTGACTGAACTTTTACTTTTATATTTTATAACTTACTATGTTTTAACTTCTGTTTCTGCTATTTTCATTTGATCTTCTCTCAGCTTTGAATGACTCGCTTTCATTATTTTTGTAAATGCTTTGTAGTATTGTGTTTCTTTTTCACTATGTCTTAATGCTTTGATGTCTGGTGTGAAGATCTGTGAATGGCCTCATGTGCTCACCTTGCCTGTATGTAGCAGTCTGCAGCTGGAAGTAGAAAAAAAAGTGGCAGGCTAATTGTATGAATATTTATCAATATAAATCTTGGAAAGACCATCATTTGAATGATTATGTATCCTGGGAATCGGCTGCTGTGCGAATTCCATTCTTTGTTTCCAATAGGGAAGGTCAACTTTGTACGTCAAGTATGTGTCAAGGTAGCCTCATTTAAGTTATGTGGCTCGTTTATTTATACTCTAATGTGTATTTTACATTGTCTGCCATTTGTTTCCCTTCGAGATCTGTTCATCCATGTTTTTGTTGTTCATGTTGAAAAACTCAAAATCAGATTTTGATTAAAATCTGTGTATCATAATGCGATAAATAACATTTATTTATCGTTTATCTGCCATGTTTTTCATTCCATCATGGCTCAGCAGAGACCAGTACATCTCACAGGTTATGAGGATGTACTCGATTTTGTCACTGAGGGTTGATGAATGCATGTCAAAGAAACCCACGTGATCACAGGTGTAGAAAGAGAAAAAGAAATAAAAGAGAGGAAGTGAGGAGTCAAAAAGACACATAAAGTCCACACAGGACCTCTGAATTGTAAACAATGGGGATGAGTCAATACTGTAGTAATACTGTGGTGCACTGCAGTGTACCTGACGGGGCTCAGACCTGTTGATGCAATCAGCAGTGGATGACTTGAGGTTTCTCTTTGCTCTCATACGTCTCCTCTCCACGCAGACTGTCAACCCCGCTCACAACACCCACAACTCCTATCTTCTATCTTTCCACCCACAACTCCAGCCATCCAGCCATTCAGCCATCTTCTCCTCCACCATCCTCCTCGCTCATTATGCACAACGCTGTGAAAAAAAAAAGAGGAGAAAAAAAAAGCCGGTTCTACAAAAGTCACTTCATGGAGACAGAAAAGTCATTCACACATCTCATTATGGCTATTTCAATCTTTCCTGGATCATACCGTTCTGTCATTGAGAATCATTTTGAATGTAAATTCAGTTTTGTCACTTATGACTAAAACATGCATTTTATTAAAGGATTTGTGTGCCCTTAAGGTTCAGATCTTCTTAATGGGCTGTAGTTCAAGTATCATAATAAACAGGTTGACATTTAAGAGATTTTTTTCACTGCTAAACTTTATTTCGGGCTCCATTTTGCCGCCTCATCTGTCTTCTGCTTTCTCTTTCTTTTACTCCTCCTCCTTTCTCCCATTCTTCCTGAGCTCAATCTTCACCCTGCTTCCTTCCTTGTAATTCCCTCAATCATTTCCCTCCCTACATCACTCCCTCTTTCTCAGTGTCCTGACTCTCATCCTGTATCATTGACCCGGACGCCTCTGAGCCTGTTCTCTCAGCCGTGGGCATCATGACCATAAGCTGAGTCGCAAGGCTATTTATATTTGTGCCTAATGAGGTGAGATTTTTCCCTGCCATAGCAACAGTCTCTATGGATACCCTGCACTTGGATACCAGATTCCATCGTGTTTTAAATGTCTTATTATGGGCTGTGCCTCCCCCCTCTTTGTTGTATCCTAATTAAATTGGAACTATCGCCTTTTTGATGTGTGAAAAGTGCAGACATTTTCTTTCAAATTACCACCAAGCACAAATTTACATAAAGGTACTTTTTTTGGTCAATGTGTGAATTCAATGTGTTGTTTTTTTTCTTTCTCTTTTTTGTTTTTGTTGGTCTTTCCGTTGATAATTTGTGAAGTCTATGATGCTTATTTAGAGAATTGAAAGGAAAGTATTGTTTAAAAAAACAAGATGATCAATTTCAGGCATGATTTGTTCCAAGACATATTATTTTTCATAAATTTGTGAAAATAAGCAAAAGTTACGACTTGAGGTGTTCTTGATTTTTTTTTTTTAGCAAAACTCAAACACACACACAGAAGCAACATCTGTCTCTGGTGAGAAAGGCTGATGGGTGTGCAATTGATCAGGTCTGAACCAGTAGCAAGCACCAGACCTGGGCAGCCGAGCTCAGATCATTAAGAGGAGCTCTCTTCGGCTGAGGTCACACAGGTGTTGAGACCTGTCATCTTATTTCCTGCCATAAAGCGCGATAACCAATCAATGAAGAAGTGGAGCAAGCCGCAACCCACACACACACACACACACACACACACACACACTGTATTTACAGTAAGACTTGGAAATGTTCTCCTAATGACAGACGCTTTGAGACAGCTGCATGCACATGTAGGTACTCACACAGGTACACAAACACACACACCACACACACAAAATCTGACAGGTGCTGCATTGTTATGGCATGTCCAACTCTGGCAGCTTGTTTTCCTCAGACCTCTCACCCTGTGTGATGACTCAGAGACGGGGAGATGAAAGGAGAGGCAGGGACAGGGGGAGTATGGGGAGGGGATGGTGGCATGAGCGTAAGAAGGTTAAGTAAATCATATCATTAATGCTATGTTAAGAGATTGCTTTGACCTCTGCTTGGCTGTCTGCATATGCAAGTGTGTGTTTGCCTGGCCTTTGTCCCACTAAAGCAGGTGGCACTGGTGACGTTCGTCTTCTTCCCACAAAACACACACACACACACTCGCTCTGCACTCTCTGGTGTCAGTCCCACTATATTCTATCGTGCTTGAAATTCACTCATCATATCGGGTGGCCTCACTGTGCCACTTGCTGACACAAGTTTGTGCATGCATGCAAAGACACCCCCCCCCACCACACACACACACACACACGCACAAACTAGGAACACTGTGCATTGGACTGACTTGATTATACAAGCTGAGCAGCACAACCTGACAGAGGAACAAGCACCGAAAGGGAAACACAAAAAGAATATAAAAGGCTTATTTGCCCATGTTGTATAAGCATGTTTCATCTTCCCACTCTCGCCTACCCTCACCCACACAGGTTAGATCCAATAGCTGGTGCCAGGCCGCTCTCTTTCGCAACACAAATCTCCCCGTGAAGGAATATTGCAATCGAGTTCTTTTTTCATAATCTCTTCCCTCCGCACCCACACATGCACATAGTGAGGGGGTGAGAGGGGTAAAAAAAGAGAGCTGGTAAAAGAAAAAGAAGAGAGGTGATGGGGGGCGGAGAGTGAGAGTGAGAGAGAGAGAGAGAGAGAGAGATAAGTGCTCATGAGAGCCAGGAGGTAGTTGTTATAGTAACTGAGTCTCTATACCTGTCAATCAGAGCTATTTCAGGCATCTTGCTTCTATGGGAAAAAAGAAGCAAGAAAAAAAAAACCGCACATTGCACGTCTCGGGAGCTGTATCATTGAGGCAAATTTATCAGCCAACACACATGCACTGATACTGGCAACTTGTAAGCTGTTAAGTCTGATCAAATTAACACCACAAATGAGATTCAGCACAATGTCATCCCTACTTTTTTGAAAGATTCTCACATTTCTACAATACAGTGAATTTCATGAAAGGACGAAAAGCAGAATGACAGCCAGAGTATCTGCAAACTTTGCTGCACCAAATAATTATACCTCTTTATTAAAGCTATCAAAGTAAAACCACTACTAAAAGGTGTATTACAGAAAAGCGCCCCTAACCTTCTCTATACTGAACCTTGATCAGAATTCTATGATTCACTTAACAGGCACTTTTATCCAGAGACGTACAGTTCTGTCAGGTGAAGTCAACTACCAACATGACAGCATGCCGCCTCGTTTCTAATTTGTACATTCAGGTTATTCTAAGGATATCTAATAGTATCAGCGAAAACAAGTGGATACAGTTCAGTGTTCTTAAATACAGTATAGTTGTGCTGATACTGATACCCGTGTTGTTACTGGCCTCTGATTCACACTAAAATGCATTATTGGATGCAAGTACAGCATTCAATTCTAGTTGCTGATCCAATACCATAACCAAAGAGTATCAACTGGTTGGGGTTAAATGTTGTGTCACAAATGTTGTGTAACATTAAACTGTGGAGCTTTTTTAAACTTAACATACATTACAGGAAAATAATCAAGTAGTAATAATTATAATAAATCATGTATGACTAACAAAAAAAAATGACGGTACCCTTTTTATTTGAAAAACACACCAAAGGAATTTATACAAGTACAGCGTTATTGATCCTGAGAAATCTGGTATCTGTTACTTTTTCAATATCTAAGCATATTTATGCACCTATTTTAACCGTAACACTAAAACTTTTTTTTTCCATTTCATCCTTTTACTTTTAGCTGACTTATCCAAACATTGTCTTTTGGAAGGGTTAACCATTGATACCTTTGATCTATGTCTATCATCTAGCTGCAATGCATTAGCTCACTTAAGGATTACTATTCCAAACTTTTTTCCAAAACTTAGCATGATTAACTATTACACCTCTTCTTCCATTACTGTTGCTGGGTTTGATCTGTTAGCAATTATTTTTATTGTATGGTATTAGTTGAACTACTTCACATCTTTCGCATGTACCCCCTGGCAAAATCAGAGGTATAGCCCTAGTGTACAATCGTTTCCCGGGTTGGAAATCATTATAAAAGACAATATGTTTCCCCTAACCAAATATTTCTAAAACTGTATCAAGATCACAGCCAAAAGAATCCCTTGTTTCAGCCCTATTGTGGGTAAACACATGGTGAGAAGGATGGAAAAGCGATGAGAGAAAAGAGTGGGGGAGTAAAAATAGTGCAAGCAGCAATATGGCTGAGCACTGAGTTTGGGAGCCATTAGGCAGAAGGTAATTAATACCTGTCACTGCAGTGCTCTCTGTTCCCTGCCTTTATTCAGTTTCAGACCAATTAAAATATGACACTCCTCCGGTGGAGAACGTCTTGTTAAAATTAAGCGCCTCAGACGCACAGACACCTTTGATAAACACATCCAGAGCTACAATTGGCTTTGGCAGCAACGCCATGCTGTACAGATAGATGGAGAGGGAGTGAGTGAAAGAAACATGGCAGTGTGTACTTGTGTCACTTCCAGGAGATGTGAGCTGTTAGATCTGATTAAATGAGTGCATGCTTTCTTGTGAGTTTCACTTACACACACACACACAGGAGACATATGTGACGTTATGCGATGCTTATGAACCAAGGGATACTGACCAGCAAAGATAAGTTGCTGCCAACTATTTTGCGGCTTGGATGGCAAGGACAGATGAATGGTAAGTAAAAACAGACGAGCCAGGGGAGAGGGAAAAAAATGGAAGAGAAAGAGCAGCCGAGGATATAAGAAGACAGGTGGCTTTACAAAAAAAAAAAAAAGGTTAGGAGCAAAGGAAAATTTGATGAAAAGATTGTGATAGGAAGGAAAACAAAGGAAAAGATAGTGCTGGGGGAAAGTGAAGTGTAATATGGTGGGTTTTTCAAAGCTGATAGGATCTCTAGAAGACAGATTAGACAGAGAGAGAAGAAGGCAAAATGGAGAGAGGTGGAGCGATGGATGCAGGCAGGGGACCAGCAGCTCTCTGCCAACATCTCCGTGCATCCTTCCAGACATCACACTGCGCTGCCATCTGCCTCTCCACCACACACAAATGAACACACACAGAGGGAGGAGAAATGTGAAATCATTAGCGTCTCCTGACACTGAATAAATATCTGCGGATGAAATCTGTCTGCGGAGAAATCACCTGCGGGGGAAATATGATTGGACGAGATCACGACCCCACTGGAACGTAATTTGCATGTCATCTAAATGGGATGTGCCCTCGATGCTTCGGAGGGTCAAAAGGCGTCCGTTTAGTTGGATGGGACAACTCAGTCCCCGATTGGTTGAAAAGAGCAACAATGGCAAGTGATCTGCTGCTCGGTGGTCGCTCCCTCTGAGAGCTGCAGGACTGCCCTCTTCTGGATGCTGGACAAATCTCCACAGTTTGAAATAAAAGTGAAAAACACACAGAGACAAAATCAAGAGGGCCAACATTTAAAGACCGATTCTGCTTGGCAGTAGTTATTTTTTAATCACATTAGAGCTGAGGAATAAAAATAAAGACAAAGAGCATGAGAGTGCAGCACACAGAGTGTCTCAGTTAACCACATACAGTCTTATTTATACATATATTTATATAATAGAACCATTTCGCCCACTTTTACAGCCTCTGATTGTAACACAGAAATATACCAACATTCCCTGGATGAGAGAGAAAAATAGCGATAGAAAGAGAGAGGAACTCTCAACAGTCTTCATCTACATTAGAAAACCTACAGGCCATTCGTTTTAGAGGTTTATACATCAGCGAGGCAGCAGTATTCATTACAAAAATAGGAATATAGTTGATATAGAAGCAGAGTGGGTGTGGGTAGTGAGGATGTGGCTCTGCACTTGACTAGAAACGACCACCTATCCGCCAACCCGACACATACACCTGAACCAGTAAACATCCTAGGATTCTGTGCGCCTCCATGAGCGTTGTACAGCAGTGCAGCACAGACAAAGAGTCAGTTATCAATTGAAACCAGCTAGGTTTTTTTAAATTAAACCATTCAAAAAAACTCTGAAAATTACTACAGGGAAATTAAAAGGGGGGTTAGTGCATCGATGAGAGTTGAGATAGTTAGGGGAAAGTTCCGCCAGAGCAAAGAAAACATGATCCAGGGTAAAAAAAGAAGAAAAAAAAAAAGGAGAAATAAAAGGTGGAAAAGGAATATAATGTATCAGAGAGAAGTGCAAAGCAGCTCTGACAACGCCCTGCACCCGGGGTTTCTCAAGCTGCTGTAATTGAGACTAAAACCAAAAGATAAGAAAGGAGGGAGCAAGAGGAAATCAAGTGTTATTGCTGGGGGTATTTTTTATTTGGTGTTAACTGGAGAGAATAGTTATGAGGGGATGGAGAGAATAGTTATTGCTGAGGGTAGTAGGGCTGCTGCTGTGGGGGCTGCTGGGGGTAACCAGGGTAGCTTCCTGCAGGAGGGGCTCCTGGGTACCCGCCCTGTCCTGGGTTGGCCTGGTAGGGCATGTAGGGCATGTTGGGCATGTTAGGCATGTTAGGCATGTTGGGCATGTTGGGCATGTACTGGCCATAGGCAGCGTAGGGATTGTAGCCCATCGGCATCTGGTAGCACCTGCATGGATAGCACAAGAGAGAAAACAACAACCACAACGTGAGCATTACAGGTATACTTCATCATATAGTTTTACATAGAAGAGTGAGAGAAGAGGATCCTGTGCTGGAGCAAGCTGCAGGTAAGCTTAGGCTGTGCTCAGACTACAGGAGTTTGACAAAAATGAACCACCTTGCATCACGCACTTAAGGAAAAACATTACATGAAGTGTTTCTAATCTTCTCATGTAAACAAGATACGATAGATAAGGAAGAGTACATCACTCACTAAGGAATGCTACCAATACTACACCCTGCTGTTGAAATGCTTCACAGTGAGAAAACACTTAACGCAAAAATGCTTTACAGGTCCAGAGGAGATAATTTTTGGAAAATGCAATCAACATTTAGTGTCATATTTTCAGCAAGACATTAACACTTGTCTGAAATGCTAAGCTTACAGGCTGCTGCCTCCAGATACAGACTGTATTTACATGACATTTACAAAGACATAAGTAAGTTGTCTAACCTCTCTTCGTCACATGGTGATGATCATTAGTGCTAGGAAAATATAGAGACTCACCCTGGGTAGCCCTGGTAGTTGGGGTAAGGTGGTCCCTGTGCCTGGGTTGGTGGGGCAACAGGTGGTGGGTTGCCTGAAAGAGGAACGGTGGGCGGTGCGTTGTTGGGAGTGTAGCTCGAGCCTGCCTGAGGAGTGACGGTGGGTGGAGGAGGTCTGGCTGGCGGGTTGGGCTTGGCCTGGGGTTGCATCGGGGCTTGAGGTTGCTGGAGTGAAGTGAGACAGAGGGTGGAGAGATTAATACATCATTATCAGCCTCAACTCTTCTTCTGTGGTATTATATCTTAAGTGGTGTGTGTGTGTGGTCGCTTACAAAGACGGTCCTGGGTGCAGGGGTCGGGCCGGTGGCGGGGGCAGCTGGGTTGCTCTGATAGGCGGGAACGTTAAAGGATGGAGCGCTGGGCTCTCTTGCAATGCTCTGCTGCAGCTCCCTGAAACAAAAATAAATCCTATTATTAAACAAAGTTTCATATTTCTACTTTACGGTTTCATATCTGTTGTTTTACAAATTGTTCCAGGTAAGGTGTTTATTAGTAATTCAGCAGCTGTGGCCCACTTCAACATATAATTTTTCGATTTATGAAATTCAAAATACATTTGGAATACTTTACTTATACCTTACTCATTTTGGTTACAAGTGTTGATTAGAGTGGTTTGATTAAAGGTTTGCTCAGTCTCCTGTTTTTGTTTAATTGAGCTGCTACACTCTTGAGTCAGGGGGGCTGGCCTAGAGTGTTAAATATCTGTAATCCGACAACTCACTCGAAAACAAATTTACTAAAAACAAATCTGGCTCAGCCTGATCACTGTCATACTAACCAATACAAAAAGACAAAATCATGAATTATACACACTTAAGTAGTTCATCCCGTTCTGTCTTGCGCGCAAAAACGATGTCGCTGCATTTGTTCTGGAACTTCAGCAGGATTTCTGTCAGGTCGTTGTAAAACTGAGGAGGGAGGAAGAAAAAGAGGACAAAAATAAATTACCTGCCCTGCAAACCACCTTGAAGCACAAAGAAAAAAACTACAACATAAATAGACGTAGGACATTTCCTACAGAATGTGCATTAAAGCAGTGCTGTTCCTACTTGCTGAGGCAGGTGTGTGCAGGTGTGTTTGTGCTGAGTGAGTACCTTGGTGCCTTCGCGCAGGTTGCTGCTGATCTCAACGTAGCTGTCATGGGCTGAGGCCAGCTTCTTCAGGACCTCCTCCCTCTGGTTGGCCTCTGTGTTGGACTGCTTCAGGCTGCTGAACTCCTGGTGGGACGTCTGGAATCGCATGTGATCACAGGTTGACAAGTTTAACCTCTGACCTCTTTGAACACAAGTGTATATCTGCCCTGTCAACGGTGAATTATTCATTCACAAAGAATGCCTGTCTGCTATTCAGTAAGTACTGTGTGATGTTCTCACATGTGTTTTTGTTGATTTTATTAATTAACTGATTCCAGTAAGGAAACTTCCTTTTTGTATGACCAAAATATACAATACAAAACAATACAACATGTATCTTAAACGTCTTCTTCAGGTCACCTTGCTGCCTAAACAACCTCTTTTATTATGATGATAACGATTATTATGATTTTTTATGCTTTGTTTTAAAAAGTGTTCATCAATCTAAGTGATTTAAATTGTTATTGTTTCATAATTTCTTTTGGCTTTATGGAAATGTTTTTATTGTTACCCAGAATGCATCATGGGTCTTACAGAGGGGTTTTGTGTTGACAGATCATTTTGAATGCAAATTAAGCAATTAAAAAGTTTATATGTAGGGGAATCAATTATTTTGTATATTTGAAGATATATGTCAATGTTTTATGTGTATTGCTTTGCTCAGTTAGAATGCAAACTGGTATTTTTATCATATTGCGCCACTGATTGTTGCAATGGTAGCTAGAATAGTTAACAAAAATAACTGAAAGTTGCAGCCCTATCTAACAGTGTGTGTTTTTGTATACCTGAACTTGTCCCAGCAGCTCCTCCTGTGAGCGGAGGCTGGCCTGCACTCTCTGGTTGTAGGTGCCATACAGCTGGTCGAGCTGGGGGAGAGACAGCTGCTCTTCATTGATGGCTCCGTCCTGAGCGAGCGCCGTCAGGAAGCTGGTGGACATGTCAAAAGTCACGGCCTTGATCTCCCCCTCCATGGTCTCCCTCTCCTTCTTTATCTCGTCCAGCTGGGCGAGCTGAGACCGCAGGACGTTCACGACCTGTAAGCAAGTAAAGTTGCTGACATTAAAGTTGTAGTTTTATTTTTAATCTAAAATACATCTTTAACACATTCAGTTCTTTCCCTGCCATTAATCCCTGACCCTTTAGCTCTTTTGCTGACAGTAACATACTGCAGCTGTGAAGAGTTCTACTTGTTTTGTTATTTAAGTTCCCCAGTCACACATGATGCATAGTCAGCAAACTAAATGAAAAATGGAGCCACTGTGGGGAGGAGATACAGGGCCATAAAGCACACAATGTGCACTGAGGGTTTCTGCCTGTGGTTATATTGCACACTTCATCTGAATTTCTGATCTAAATAACTCTGGAAAAACTAAGCTCATAGTACTTAAATTAAGTTCTACATTACCTTAACATTAAGATATATGTTTTAAAGGTTTGAGGAGAGCAACAGACCTCGTTGCCCTGTAGGGTCTTGGTCGGGTTGGCAGAGGGAATGGCAGCGTTGAGCTCATTCTCTGGTTTACACAGCAGGGTGATCATGTCACAGTGGGTGTTGTAGCGGTCCTTCACCACCTGGTCGGCCTGTACGGCCTTGTCCAAGACGCTACGGAAGTTAGCTCCCTCTGGGAGAGAAAAGGAAGGGAGGCAAGGATAGAGGACGAGATAGAGAAGGAGCATGGTCAACAGTGGATGACATGAAGAAAAAGAGGACATGTTTTCAGTACTCTGTGTGTGTGTGTGTGTGTGTGTGTGTGTGTGTGTGTGTGTGTGTGTGTGTGTGTGTGTGTGTGTGTGTGTGTGTGTGTGTGTGTGTGTGTGTGTGTGTGTGTGTGTGTGTGTGTGTGTGTGTGTGTACCTGCACGAAGGGGCTTGTACAGGTCTCCAGAGGGGGTTCTGTGCCAGCGCTGGTTGAACTTGGTTCTTAGTTCGTTGTCTGTTGTCTCCTCATCGTCCAGCATCTTCAGAGACTGAACACCAAAAAGCAAAAATTAAAAACTTTGTCATTAAGGTAAAGAGGAAGTCTAATCTATAACAATTGAAGAATTCAGAAGATTAATACTGGGCTAATTTCAGTTAAACTTATAAGAAAAGTAAAATAATTGGTTAGTAATCAATTAAAAGCTTTTTTAATTAAACTTTTGAAATT